TGCGAGTACCTTCAATGTGCCTATTTGGATGAAACTGTTCATAGTTTTATTGCTTTTCACCCATAACAATTTTCTTCTCAAGATTTCAACACTGCTCACGAATTTCTTCAATTTAACAGTTGCTTGCCACATTTAAAGTGCCTTATGCTTTGTCTCAGCTTTCCTTTTTATCTCATGTCAATTTTTATCTTTAATCTAACTACAGTTACTTGTCATGCTTTCCTTTTCTGTAGTCTGTTATGTCACCTACATGAAAGAATAACTGCATTACGTAGGCTTCAATAAAGTTCCTTACACCTGGCCAGTGGGATTCCTATGTGGTCTGATCAACCATGGAAATTAAAGTAATTTAGATAGTATATTCTCAAGTTATTTTACCACTAAGAAGAGCCAAGAGGGTGACTAAATGAATTGGCACAATTCCATTACTTCCAGGCTAGTAATTCAGAACAACAGAGCTTCCTAACAAAGAACTAATATATCAGTTTCAGTGTTAGTACAGTGGTAGGCTGAACAAAAAACTGCAACAGCTAATTTCATAATCACTGAGTTCAAATTCTTCAGTAAAATTTGGGCAAACGATACTATATCCTGAATATGACGATACTGAGCTCAGCTGGATCTTCCAAAAGTCTGTCAGCTGACAAAAGTCACAACATCCTGCTGTTACATCCATTACTCACTCCCAGGCTGGAAACAGTGGTATGGAGACCTTGTAGCCCAAACTAACTAGTCACTGTTCTTCCCACGTGAGGACAAAGTGCTCATAGTAGTAAATGGCCAATGGAAGATCTGGATAAACTAAAGAACTGTCACATTCTCTTCCAAGGGAAACTTTTGGCAAGACCCAAAGAAAGAAGGTGATAGCTCCCCAGCATCAAAATCGTTAACGTTCAGAATAAGCAACACATTTTCAAAGCAAAATAAAGCACTGCTTTGAGCAACCTGGAAATACAAAGGCAGCAGCACTGCTTCGGCCAGGATCAGGTGCACCCATGAAACTGGAACTCTCATCACATCATGAGCTCCACAAGGAATAATTTCGTGACACTTCACATGCAGAGGCCACTCATTTGTTCACTGAACATTTACTGAGTAGCTACTTCCCTAACAGGAACGGTTAGGTACTGGGATGTAAAGTTAAACAAAACCAGGTCCTGCCCTCCAGTGGTTCACAATGTAGGCACAGAAAATACACAAAAATACCCAAAGTTAAGAGTACACCGGTTATGAAAGAAGCTTTCACAGATTGTAACGGCCATACAAAAGAAGAGCATCCACCTTAATCTGGAAAGGATCAAGGAAGGGCTTTGAGTGACGGTGGGGCCTGCATCCCTGGTGAACTTAAGCCTGAGGGTCAAACAAGCGCTGGAACGGAGGGGAATTAGCGAGAGGGGTGGCCTGAGGCTCCGGGACCGACAGTGACAGGGGAATTGTGGGAGAAGACGGACCGCACAGCAAGACACCAGAGAGGCCAGGGCACCAAGGTCCCTGCAAGATGCTGAAGTAGAGACATACCAGGATCTGCATATTCGTGTATTTTGAGGCCAGAGGCATATTATTTACTTTTAACTGGAGTTAAAGACTCTGAATGGAGGGGGATTTGATGAAGAAAGACTGGAAGAGATTTAGGGCCAGTTATTTTGAATCATTTCTGTCTGGCTCATTCTTATTTTTCTCTCAACTTTTTTTTTTTTTTCTCCTCTCACAGGGAAAAAATAAAACTGGACAATTCTATAACAAAGCCTGTGAACCTTCTGTTCATCAAAAACATTTCTGAACAGAGCGCTAGATTCTATCAAACTAGCCCAAATTGGACAAATTTCTCTAGCATCTAGACCCTTCCAGGCAAAAAGACCAAAGTCAGGTATCTGATGCCAACAGAAGAAAGCTAGAGAAATACCCTGGATCAGGGGCCACACAGAACATGTTGCTGCTTAGCATATCCCAGCACTTTGTCACTGGGAATGCCCACAGTTCCCAAAACAAGGACATGCCAAACAGTTACAGGCTTCTCCATACAAACTGCCAGGAAAAAAACCTACCAGTGCCAGGAATGACCTTGGACTTTATAGTGTGGACTCAACAATTCTCTCACCTGATCAGGGTGCCAACAGGTGTAGACAGAAGATTGCCTTCCTCACTACACAAGAAAACTGAACCTCGCAACCATGTATAGCGCCCAGCCACTCTCCCGGGACTAATACTACTGAGAAGAGCATCCCGTACATGAGGACAGATACTAACTACTACCCACAGCAAGCACTGCCCACCCATGAAGCACTAGGCCCTCATCTCCAGTCCTCATTAAAGCTTGCAAAGTTTATTTTATTTTATTCAGCCCCATTTCACAGACTGAAAAAAAATTAAAAAACAAGGCACAAAGAGGTTAAAGCTTACCCAGGTCAAAAAGCAAGCAAGGGGTATAGATGAAATGACTCCAAAGGCCATGCTCTTTCCATCGTCCTAGACACCTCAGAATTTTTCCAAAGAAATCAAACACTTTAAGTCTTCTTTCCAAGAGTCTCTGAGTTGATCCATCTGACTAAGAGGCAGTCAAAAACATTTTTCAGCAGTTTACCTCCAAAGCAACAAATAAAACAGCTCTTATTTGATTTGATCAAGTGACTATTCCAGATGGAAAGTGAGACATATTTCCAAGAATTTATTATCCACATGCCTTGATTTTAAATCTCTTCTTTTACTTTTGGCCAAAATACATATGCAGCAAGACAGAGAAGAGAGCAAAGGACAGACTTTCATTTAACTAGATCAGAATAGAGATTAACAATTACAGCCAAAGAGCTTTCAAACATAATTTATGAAGTAAAAATTAAGAGGCAAGGAATAGCAAATAGGCTGAGCCTTACCTCAATTTTATTCCTCCTGTTTTAGGAGACAGCACTCCCACCATCAGCAGGCACTCCCAGTCTATATACAGTGAACCAGACAAAGGCAATAAACAACACCTTCATACTCTCAAAACCACAGTAGGAAGGAAAGTGTGATGGCTTCCTAAGGAACCTAGGCACACATACAGTATTTGTAAATCACAGCCCATCAAGATACACACAGCAACAAAATGTTTACCTGGTGGTTTGTCTACAGGCATATTTCAGGTTAAAAGGTGTATATAAATAAAATAATCCAAAACAATCCCATACCATTGTGAACTTCTCCCATGGAAATATATAAAGATAATCAATTGTCAGTAGTCAGAATCAATACTTCATAAAAACTGTACTCAATGCTTTTACAGATTAAAAGCTTGAATGCGTGAATCATTTCTTCCTTCACAGACCTATAACCCCTTCTAAAATATGAACTACTATTATTAAAACAAGAATAACATCACCATGGTGGAGGTGCCCAACACAGGGCCTGGCATAACTCAATAGATATTTGTTTATGGAAGAATGAGTTACTTACAAGAGAAAACTTAATAAAGAGAAAAAGAACAGTTCAAGGGAAATACATGATTTTTTAAACATTAAGGGAAAAAAAAAAATCCTCAGAACCATCAGCAAACTACAAATAGAATTAGCTCACATCTCATGAAAATTTATACTCTAATATACTCCAAAGAGGCAATACAACTCCTAACACTAAACAAACTCTGAAAGTACAATGACTCTGACACTCCTTTTTTTTTTTCCATACGAGGTTTGATATCTCATCTACAGACAACACACCAACTTTTGAGAATATTCCATAGAGAACTCTGGTGCATAGAATAGATGCAGGCCTCAGCTACTTGGAATTTGCATATTGCCTTTCAATGAAACACTTGAGACACAGTGTACAGACCAGACAGACAACACTTCTAGTGAAGATAATGTCCTGGGAGAGCTGAAATAACAGTCACTAAGATTTAGCAGATTTAATGTAATGACTTCATGGCAGTAGGAGAAAATGAAGTTTCATGGATTTAGGGATAAAATGAACTTTTGACAAACTGTTAAGTTTTCACATCCCTTTCTAGAGTTGCACACGTTAAACAATGACATACAAGTGAGTGAAAAGAGGCTCTTAATTTAGACTTAGAAAAAGTGGAGTGAAAATCCCTAAAATTTACATATATTATGCTAAGTTTGTCTATCATCATAAACAACAGCCACAGTGTTGAAAAGAAAGCATGAGTCACAATTCAAAAACAAAGAAGGAAAAAAAAATGAACAGAGGAATGCTTTGGGTCCAAATACCACAAAGAAATTTTTTACTTAAAACACGGTTAATGACAGCTACCATTCTGACTCGCAGTAAAAAGGAATGGTCCACACTTCTATTCAGGAACAAACTCAATTCAGCCCCCAGACGCCCCCTTCCAGCCCCATCTACCTCACTGCCCAGCCACCAACATACTCAGTCACATCCACTAGCAAGTGGCAGGAATTCTAATAGATCTGAGTCACCCCTCCCCCGCAGAAAGAGGTCATTATCAGGAAGCCCACTCTGCAAAGGTCCCTTGTTTATCTCACAGGCTGCCACCACCACTGCCCACAAAAAGCCAATTCTCCAACCTCAGCAGCCTACCAACCCTCCTCTATACTCTCCAGTTCACAACTCCGGCTTCCCCCTAACGCCAAGGTAGCCAACACGACTCACTGTGACACTCATGTGACAAGTTCCCTATCTGAAAATTACTCAACTTTGGGATGCTGGGCCCTGGAGAATCCATCTCTTCGCTCAACTCCCCTGTGCCCAGCTGAGCTCCTTGCCTTTCCAGGAACTAATCACCGGTTACCTCAGGGAAGCTAAATACTCAATACCCTGTTCTCCTCAGCCAGATCCCGGCCTGCCAAGTTCACGGACCTGAGCGGGTGGGGAGGAGGGCAAGGAGAGACGCATCTCGATTCGCCTTACGGACCAGGAAGGCACACTGAGGCCCCCTAGAATTCCAAACGCACCCTCCCCCCAACCCACCCGCTGTGGCCAGCCTCCAGGCCGTCTGCATCAGGAGCTAAGAGAGCACGCCACTACAGTTAAGTCTCCGTGTCCCTATGACTCCCTTTCCCGGGTACAAAAGTCCTAAATACCAAGCCAATAAGGCCCCAGGTGGAGGCCAAGACCCCCGCCAAGCCTCCAGCCACCGGAGTTTCCCAGGTGGGATCCAGCGCCCCAAGGCCTGGGCCACCAGGACCGGCTTGCTGCCCCAGGCCGCTGAGCGCCAGGGGCCCGGGCCGCCTCTCCACTCGGCCCCCATTGTTGCGGGTCCTGGCGGCCCGAGCAGGGAGTCGGGGGGCCGGCAACCGCACTCACCTCCCGCGCCGCGGCTCGGGGCCGCGCCGGGCCGGGTAGGGCCGAGGGGCCGAGCGCTCCGCTGCGCCCGCCTTGGCAGTGCCTGCGGCAGTGGCAAAGGGTATAGAGGGAGGCAGCCGGCCAGGCCCGGGCGCCGCGGGCTGGCTCCGGCTAAGCGTCGGTCTTCTCCGGCGGCGGCGCTCTCAGCCTCCGCTGGCGGTCCGCGCCAGAAAGCTTCCCCCTCCCGGCCCGTCGTCGGGCCGCCCGGACGGGAACACGCGCCGCGGACAGGAAAGTTCCGCTGAGAGCCTGTCGGAGGCCGCTGTTCCCCCGCGCCGGATGGACTGCGACTCCTTCCTCTACAGAGCCATCTATGTGAACTTTTTCAGGAGTGAATGAAGCACGGGAATCCCAGACCGGAAACCTGAGAATGATTTTAGTGGTGGGTCCAACAGAATGAGTTTGCACCCCGCTAGCCATCAGAGAGGCACGTTGGAAAGTCAGTGATTCTAGTGATTCTCGGTTCCTCCTCATTCCTCGCTTGGGGATAACCTTGGAGGTTTGTTAGGACTATATGAAATGTTGCAAGTGCCTGGCGCGGAGATGTGCGACTCAACACTGGGTCTCGGTCATTGCTGACGCTGCCAATGATGACTGTTACTACTGCTATCGCCTCCTACAGAGCTTGGGCGCAGATCTCAAGGGCTCTTGAAATTGATGTGCACCATATAACTAGGTTTTTCCCCCTCCCGACCGGTTTCCTGTTGACTGAAGCTGGAAAAAAAGCGGAGACAAGAAAGGGCTTTCCTGATCCCTGAACCTGAGAGGGAAGTTAAAGATTCAGGTTCTCTTCCCTCAAGTTGGGAATTATTGCCATGCGGGCTCCAGTTAAGGGGAAGAGTGAATTGTGTCAGCTGCACAACAGGCCCAGGTTCCCTTCCTAATCCCTCTTTCAAGAAATGAATATTGACGAAATGATGAAAAAATTCAGAAAGTGGGCTTTGTTTTCCGCATAAAATCAACACAATAAAAAAATCCTTTCTCCTTCCCTCTTCCCTTTTCTTCTAGGCCTTCACACCTCCGTTTAGTCGCTAAATTGTGTCTGACTCTTTTGCGACATCGTGGACTGTAGACTGCCAGACTCCTCTTTCCATGAGATTTCCCAGGCAGGAACACTGGAGTGAGTAGACATTTCCTTCTCCAGGGGATCTTCCTGACTCAGGGATCCAACCCGTATCTCCTGCTTGGCAGGCAGATTCTTTACAACCGAGCCACCAGGGAAGCCCTGGAAGTCCATTCACACCTCTAGATATCAGTTAATTTTGGAGCAAATTAAGACAGTTCAGTTCAGTTCAGTCACTCAGTCGTGTCTGATTCTTTACAAGCCCATGGACTGCAACATGCCAGGCCTCCCTGTAAAAAAACAACTCCTGGAGTTTACTCAAACTCATGTCCATTGAGTCGGTGATGCCATCCAACCATCTCATCCTCTGTCTTCCCCTTCTCCTCCCACCTTCAATCTTTTCCAGCATCAGGGCCTTTTCAAATGTGTCAGCTCTTCACATCAGGTGGCCAAAGTATTGGAGTTTCAGCTTCAACATCAGTCCTTACAATGAATATTCAGGACTGATTTTCTTTAGGATTGACTGGTTGGATGTCCTTGTAGTCCAAGGGACTCTCAAGAGTCCTCTCCAACACCATAGTTCAAACGTATCAATTCTTTGGCGCTCAGCTTTCTTTACAGTCCAACTCTCATATGCATACATGACTACTGGAAAAACCATAGCCTTGACTAGACGGACCTTTGTTGACAAAGTAACATCTCTGCTTTTCAATATGCTGTCTAGGTTGGTCATAACTTTTCTTCCAAGGAGCATGAAATTTAATTTCATGGTTGCAGTTACCATCTGCAGTGATTTTGGAGCCCAAAAAAATAAAGTCTGACACCATTTCCACTGTTTCTCCATCTATTTGCCATGAAGTGATGGGACCAGATGCCATGATCTTTGTTTTCTGAATGTTGAGCTTTAAGCCAACATTTTCACTCTCCTCTTTTACTTTCATCAAGAGGCTCTTTATTTCTTCTTCACTTTCTGCCATAAGGGTGGTGCTACCTGCATATCTAAGGTTATTGATATTTCTTCTGGCAATCTTGATTCCAGCTTGTGCTTCTTCCAGCCCAGCATTTCTCATGATGTGCTCTGCATATAAGTTAAATAAGCAGGGTGACAATATAAAGCCTTGACGTACTCCTTTTCCTATTTGGAACCAGTCTGTTGTTCCATGTCCAGTTCTAACTGTTGCTTCCTGACCTGCATACAGATTTCTCAAGAGGCAGGTCAGGTGGTCTGGTATTCCCATCTCTTTCAGAATTTTCCACAGTTTATTGTGATTCACACAGTCAAAAGCTTTGGCATAGTCAATAAAGCAGAAATAGATGTTTTTCTGGAACTCCCTTGTTTTTCGATGATCCAGCGGATGTTGGCAATTTGATCTCGGTTCCTCTGCCTTTTCTAAATCCAGCTTGAACATCTGGAAGTTCATGGTTCACGTATTGTTGAAGCCTTGCTTGGAGAATTTTGAGCATTACTTTGCTAGTGTGTGAGATGAGTGCAATTGTGTGGTAGTCTGAGCTTTCTTTGGCATTGCCTTTCTTAGGGATTGGAATGAAAACTGACCTTTTCCAGTCCTATGGCCACTGCTGTTTTCCAAATTTGCTGGCATATTGAGTGCAGCACTTTCACAGCATCATCTTTTAGGATTTGAAATAGCTCAATTGGAATTCCATCACCTCCACTAGCTTTGTTCATAGTGATGCTTCCTAAGGGCTCACTTGACTTCACATTTCACGATGGCTGGCTCTAGGTCAGTGATCACACCATCGTGATTATCTGGGTCATGAAGATCTTTTTTGTACAGTTCTTCTGTGTATTCTTGCCACCTCTTCTTAATATCTTCTGCTTCTGTTAGGTCCATACCATTTCTGTCCTTTATTGTGCCCATCTTTGCATGAAATGTTCCCTTGGTATCTCTAATTTTCTTGACGAGATCTCTAGTCTTTCCCATTCTATTGTTTTCCTCTATTTCTTTGCACTGATCACTGAGGAAGTCTTTCTTATCTCTCCTTGCTATTCTTTGGAACTCTGCATTCAAATGGGTATATCTTTCCCTTTCTCCTTTGCTTTTTGTATCTCTTCTTTTCACAACTATTTGTAAGGCCTCCTCAGACAGCCATTTTGCTTTTTTGCATTTCTTTTTCTTTGGGATGGTCTTGCTCCCTGTCTCCTGTACAATGTCACGAACCTCCATCCATAGTTCTTCAGGCACTCTGTCTATCAGATCTAGTCCCTTAAATCTATTTCTCACTTCCACTGTATAATCGCTAGGGATTTGATTTAGGTCATATCTGAATGATATAGAAGCTTCCCTGGTGGCTCAGAGGTTAAAGTGTCTGCCTGGAATGCAGGAGATCCAGGTTCGATCCCTGAGTTGGGAAGATCCCCTGGAGAAGGAAATGGCAACCCACTCCAGTACTCTTGCCTGGAGAATCCCATGGAGGGAGGAGCCTAGTAGGCTACAGTCCATGGGGTCGCAAAGAGTCGGACACAACTGAGCGACTTCACTTTCACTTTGAATGATCTAGTGGTTTTCCCTACATTCTTCAATTTAAGTCTGAATTTGGCAATAAGGAGTTCATGATCTGAGCTACAGTCAGCTCCTGGTCTTGTTTTTGCTGACTGTATAGAGCTTCTCCATTTTCGGTTGCAAAGAATATAATCAATCTGATTTTGGTGCTGACCATCTGGTGAAGTCCATGCGTAGAGTCTTCTCTTGTGTTGTTGGAAGAGGGTGTTTCCTATGACCAGTGAGTTCTCTTGGCAAAACTCTATTAGCCTTTGTCCTGCTTCATTCTTTACTCCAAGGCCAAATTTGCCTGTTACTCCAGGTGTTTCTTGACTTCCTACTTTTGCATTCCAGTCCCCTATGATGAAAAGGACATCTGTTGAGTGTTAGTTCTAGAAGATCTTGTAGGTCTTCATAGAACCATTCAACTTCAGCTTCTTCAGCATTACTGGTCGGGGCATAGACTTGGATTACTGTGACATTGAATGGTTTGCCTTGGAAATGAACGAGATCATTCTGTTGTTTCTGAGATTGCACCCAAGTACTGCATTTTGGACTCTTGTTGACTATGATGGCTACTCCATTTCTTCTAAGGGATTCTTGCCCACAGTAGTAGATATAATGGTCATCTGAGTTAAATTCACCCATCCCAGTCCATTCTAGTTTGCTGATTCCTAAGATGTCGACGTTCATTCTTGCCATCTCCTGTTTGACCACTTCCAATTTCCCTTGATTCATGGACCTAACATTCGAGGTTCCTATGCAATATTGCTCTTTACAGCATTGGACGTTGCTTCCATCACCAGTCACATTCACAACTGGGTGTTGTTTTGCTTTGGCTCTGTCTCCTTATTCTTTCTGGAGTTATTTCTCCACTGATCTCCAGTAGCATATTGGGCACCTACAGACCTGGGAGTTCATGTTCCCAAACTACTATTGGGAATTTAGATCTGCAGAAGGTGCTCCAGAAGTATCATAGCTGTCGCATGGCCTCAAATTTTCCATTCTCGCCTCACCCCTTGGTTTCTGAGACTCAGGAAATTTTACCTTGATACCCTTCTCCCTTGTCTGAAGAGACTTTCCAGAAAGGATCTGATATCAGTTACGTGAACCTAAATTAAATTTTGTCACTGTGTCATACATATATACACATGAATTTCCATTTAGATTATCCTCTAGAAGGAAAAGCCTCATCTGCCTAAAGACATTTTCGTAACCACCTGAAAATAGCAAGCTTCTAAGCAGAAAGCAGCATGCTCAAAACCTCTGGAGGTTCTCCACTCACTCAAGTAAGGAGACTTCATACTATGATCTTAAAGGATTAAAAGATGACTCAAAAGCTGGTTCACTTTTCTCTGAATCCCAAGGTCACATCACCATTTCAACCCCTCCCTGATCCATGCCTTACATTTTCCCCAGTTGGCTTCTTAGCTTGGACTCCTTGTGTGATAAATAAAGCAGATTTGGTCTCAAGTGTTGAAGTAGGTTTAGGTGAGAGCCCTAAAAATGACCAAACAGAGGAAAAAAGGACCAGGGAAGTGGGGCAGAAACTTGAGAAAGTAGTCTTATTATCTCCCTCCCCTCTCCCAAAAGACCTAATATATAAGCATCAAAGACACCCACACTGGGACTTCCCTGGTAGTCCAGTCCCTGGGACTGTATGTTCCCAACACAGGGGGCA